CAGCTCACTGCAGCCTCAACCTCTCGGGCTCAGACAGTCCTCCTGTTTCAGTCTGTCAAGTAGCTGAGACCACAGGCTCATGTCACCACACTCGGCTAATTTTTTAAAGAAATTATTTGTAGAGTCAGAGTCTCACTTTTTTTCCAAGGCTGGTCTTGAACTCCTGGACTCAAGCAATCCTCCCACCTTGGCCTCCCAAATTGCTGTGATTACAGGCATAAGCCACCTCTGGCCCTTTACTCTTCTTTTGCTGACTTCATACTTTTTCTGTAAGTGCAGGTATTTTGCAGGTTTAAGCATTCGTCCTCATCTGCTCTTTCTCCGTGACCCCTTGGACCAGTTTCATTCATTCATATCCTCCATTTCAGATGTCATCTCTACATTTCTGAACTTCGGGCCTGATTTTTATGACAGTTTCCTAGCTACCTTTCTCAGAACTCAATATGCTATAAATAGAATTCCTTGGGTCAGCCAAACTGCATCCACTTCTGATTTTATTATTTTTGTGTGCCCTTTTCTTAGTCTCTTGTGCTCAAAACTTTGGTACTATATTCTATTCCTCCTTCTTCCTCATAAACTTTCATCTAATTGGCTCCAAATCCTCATTTTTCTTGTTTCTATTCCCTCCTTTTCATTTTGTGGATATTGCCTTGATTCAAGACTTCATTTCTTGTCTCTCAAACTAATGCAGAATTTCATACGTTCATGCATGAGTCTCCTCTCAACCCAGTTTTTATGCTATTAAAGTATAGTTCAAATCTACTTATCTAATTAATCAGCTTTCTATTACTCAATAATATCCAAACTTTTTTTGGCTGGTATTTAAAGTTTCCATGGTTTGATCTCAAGTTATGTTTTATTATTCTACTTCACAAGGCATCATCCCATGTCTTATACTTTTGCTGCTTTAGCTGACTTAGACCCGACATTTTTTTGGTCTCCATCCTTAATATCCTTTCTTGAGTTGGAATATTTTTCTTTACCCATATTTCCTTTCCACCTGACAAAAACCTACTCCTCCTTCAAGGCACAGCTTCAACGATGTCTGTACATCAGAGCTCCCCTGTGAATTTGTTTTCAGCTAGAAGCAGCCTCTCACTCCTCTGAGCTCTCAGGATACTATTTTTCCATATTGCTCTTTGTAGATCTTTCCACAGGTTCAAAGAACCACTGGAGATTTGAGCTACAGTGTCTTAGACACCATCTGGCCCACACTATATTCTTTATAGATGAGGGCCAGAGTTAGGAAAGGGCTCGCCCAAAGTTACAGAGTGAATTCATTGCAGGATCACAATGTAACACAGGGGATGGGACCCTATATAAGTAGGGACACTTTCAGGACAAGGTGTGTAGCTTACTGACTACATCTGCACTGCCTTGTCCTCTTTCCTTGAGTCTCTGATTCAAAGCTAGTGTTTGGCAAATGTTGGCTGAATTGAGACAGAGCTCTGGATTGCTAAGAAATGAAATGGGGTGGGGGGGGGCAACTGAGGCTTCTGCTGGGCATGGGCTTGCCTGGACTGGCCAGGAGTGGCTATCGGCACTCCAGGTGGTAGTTTTAGACCTACTGAGCATGGAGCGCTCTTGTAGAGGACGCCTTTCGATTCTAAAGGAATTTGAAATGCTAGATGTTAATTTGTGCTCCCGGTGGAGCAGCCTACAAGGAATACCCACCTCTGGAACTCTTTCTCCAATTCCCTGGGAAAGAAAAAGAACGATGTAATTGAAAGCCTGTGGAATCCTGAACAATACTTCAAGAAGTTAGCATCTCCTTGGCGCCAAAAAGATTTTTAAGTCAATATTGCAACTAATAAAAATCTTGTCTGTGGAAAGAAGGGAAGGGATAAATTGATAAAGTGGGAAAGGGGCTCTGGTGTTTTAAAATGACTAATTCTCTTTATTGAGTGGGCCAATAAGAAACAGTAATTAACTTAAAGATTTCACAGAGCAAGTGGTTGTTTTATATAAGAACAGAGGCTAAAGATGGAAATAATTTGTTCATAACTACAAAAGAGTTAAAACTTGAACTGAGGGCTCAGATACCTGCCACTGCATCATACACTTGAAAAGAAACTCAAATTCTTACTAAACTTAATTTAAATTAACTTCTTTAAAAAAGGATAAAAGCCTTTTTGAGGATGGAAGCCACCAGAAAAGAAAACAATTAGGTCGGATTTGGAGGTAGCAAAGAAGCCGTAATTAGCTCACTAGTCAGTCTATTATGAGTCAGTCTCTCAATATCTGTCAGGGGTTGGTTTCAGAACCCTTGCAGACACCAAAAATCTGAGGATGCTCAAATCCTTATGTTAAACGGCATAGCATTTACATATAACCTAGGCTTGTCTTGCCCTATGCAGTACTCTAAATTCTCTAGAGTACTTTCGATACCTAAGACAATGTAAATGCTATATAAATAGTTGTTATACTGTATTTTTTAAATTTTTTATATTTATTATTGTTTTGTTATTTTTATTGTTTTTATTTTTCTCCAAATATTTTTGATCCACACTTGGTTGAATCTGCTGATATGGAACCTGCAGATGTGGAGGGCTGGCTGCATATAGATCCTAACTTTTTCAGACTTACTATACCTGGATCCATGCCAGGGATTCTCAATGTTGGTACTATTAACCTTTTGGGTGGGGTCATTCTTTGTTGCAGGAGACTGTCCCGTACTTTGTAGGATGTTTAGCAGCATCCAAGGCCCCTACCCACTGGACACCAGAGTCACTCCTCACACCTGCCAGTTGTGACAATTAAAAATGTCTCCTGATACTGTCCCTGGGGGCAAGATTGCCCCTGGTTGAGAATTACTGATCTGTTACAGTCCGCTGGATTTTGTTGAGAAGTAAGTGGTGAAAGCATATCATCAACGGAGATAGTTTCAATTAAAGGCCAATTTGAGAAGGTCTAGGATGGATGAATTCATTTTTCATTGAATATTTGCATGCTGCTCCACATACCATATTTTGCTCTTGTTTTATTTAGACTTGGTAAATCTCACAATCCTTGTGTGCTACACTGAGAACAGAGGTAGAGCCTGTCTGTTCAGGTGCTCTGATTTGCCAAGACTCTGCTCGTGCTCTCTCTGGGCCCTAGCAGAATGGCAGCTTCTTAACCTCGTGTGATGGCTTAGTTACCAGTTTGGATGTGTTCGCAGATCCAGGGAAGCACTTTACTAAGGTCTGTGAAGATCCCAGGGGATCCTTGATCATTTTTCCTCACATTGTTTCTCCAGCCTCGACCACAGCCCAAACCCCAGGAAGTCACACCAGCCAGAGTCCAGGCCCCTTTCTTATTCCGGCACATGAGTGAACCTCCTGAATCTCCCTGCAGAGGGAAAAAGCCTCTGTTAGCATCACTGTCAGTGTCGGTGCCCCAAAGGGCTCCCTTTCTCCCCATAAGGATGCTGGAGGAGGAACAATGACACCTCCTCACTTCTAATAATTTAGACTCAGAGACCTGGGTCTAAAGATCCCAGCACAATTCCCATATGGTTCTCAAATATCACTGGAACCCAACAATCCCACCTCCCTTTTCCTCATCCACAGCTTTCATCAAAGCAGCGTACTTTCTTCTTTCTCCTATCTCACACTGCAGACCCAGAGAAGTCTTGGCCAGCAATGAAACTGACCTCAGGTCTTGGTTAGCAGGAAGAATGGAGGCAAGGTGTAAAGTTCCCAACATCCACAAACTGGAAACTTCTAAATAGGAAAGAGTCAGCCATCCTTCAGGAATAGGAGTACACTGAGTTTATTCTTGGCATTATCTCTCTATTATTTGGGTCTTTTGGAAAAAGCAGAAGACCTCTTTTAAATCACACTTCCTGCTAAAAACAGATTGTTTCCACTGTCCCTTTATTTTGACGTAACCTCCCTTGGTATTACTGATCCTTCTTTCCAGATTCCTGCCTTACCTGGAATCAGTCTTCCTGTAGCCCCTCATCTGAACCTGATAACAAAACCAAAGGAAGCCTTACCTAGGGCCTGACAGCCCCGCTGCTCCCACTCACCTGACACGCATCTCTCCCTCCATCAGGAAAGCCTGTGCAGAGAAAGGTCTTCCCGCTGATGGGCCTCTTTAGCATTAACAGAGCTTCCACACACTCCTCCTGGGTCAAAATAGGCAGATTCACTTCCTGCAAGACTTGTGAGAGGACGCCATCTGAAAAACATAGAGACAGAAGCCCCAGCAAGAACTCTTTCACCCTTTTTGAGTTAGAGATGCATCATTCGCGTTTATGTCTTTTGGAAAGACTTGCATTTCTAAGTACAACGTGACATTCTCTGTCTTTAAAAATGTATGCACAATTGTTTTAAATAATGGATTAAAAATTCCATTTTCTGGTTGCCCACCAGAAAGTTCTGACCTCTGATTAAGAGGAGTGGCACACAAGTTCTTACCTTCAGTCGAGCGGCCCCAGCCTGCAGTTGTACAAATAAAACCAGCCTCAAATTGTTCCCATGGCTCTGGAAGACATATGGGCCCCACAAAATGGCCTGAAGAAAAGAGCAAGGTAAGGCTTATCTTATTCATGAAGGAGAGGACACTATAAGCCACTCACCTGTTGGCACCTAGGTAGTCCCCTAAAGACCTCATAAGAGTTGTGATAGCTCTGCCTGGCATCTCCAGGGGGTCACTTGTGAGATAAAGAAAACCCTCTCCTGACTCCATGTAATGCTACCTCCAGAACCGTAAGCAAAAAGTTTCAGGCAGGGCTCTTCAGCCCAAATCCCTGTCTCAAAGTGCATGACCGAGAACATATACTGCAGGAAATGTGCTATGGCACAGAGGTTATAGAGAATATAGGGTAGACAATTCAAAACGATCCTCAAATATTTACCAAACTGGAAGGCTCCAGCCATCTTCAAAAGGGCAATATCATAATCCATTGGTTTCTTCATGGAGAAATGTGGATGTATGATGACAGTTTCAATAGTGAGACTTTGCTCTCCCGGCTCTGTCTGGCTTAAGTCATGTTCTCCAGCAGTAACATTCAAAGTTGGCACAATGTTTCTATGGAAAGCAAACAGTAAAATGAATGAATTCATTGTGCCTCTGGGTACAGTTGCAATGATTGACAAACTGGCTTCTTTTAAATGATATGGATAATTAATATGCGGTATGAGGCTGCTGAGTAGAGAAAGTGAGAATAATTCCAACACTATTAGAAAAAAATCCAGTAGAGGACTAGTGAAGAGTGGATTCATTTATAGCCAAGGGTACAATGAATTTAATACTTTGCAATGTAATTTGAAAATATCTAGAGATGTACATACATTGTAGTTCAGGAGTCTACAGCTATAGGGGACTTTATTCAGCTACCCTGAGAGGTTGACCTGACCTAATACCTGTGAGATCCTTTGGGAATGATTTGTGATTCCCAGTAAGTATACGACTTCAATGTTAGAGATCCTATGCTTAGTGTATATTATAAAGTACAGACTGCATTATAACTAACTATAATGTTACCTGAAAGGAACTAGGTGGTATGCATTGAGATACATAAAAACTTCAGCTTGCCATCCTTTGAGACCCTTCATTCCCAAAAGTGATGCTTTTATACAAAATTGAAAAAGGCTTTTTTTCTGGGTAAAGTTCCCTGACTCTTGGCCGAATTAGGTACCTAACTTAACACATAATGTCTGTCTTACCTACCACTTGCCACATTGCTGTGAGATGATCAGTTGACTCTTCTTTTAGACTATCAACTCTCTGGGAGCAGAAATCCTGTCTTAGTCATTTTGGTATCTTTGGTACTCACTGGTATCTAGCACAAAGTAAACATCCAGAAAATGTTTGCAGACTTGAAAGAGTGATTATGCAGGAACATGATCTTGATTACAGCCTAGGACATACCCAGAACACTGCCAATAATAGAATATAGGGATCACACAAGAAAGTGAGTAAAGGGAAGTTGTTGGGTTGAGGCCCAGAGAGGCAAGATCAATGGGAAGACAGGGAGCCTACTTTCTATTTTACTGGTCTCCCTTTGTTTTCTTTTATCCATTTCTTCAGGTGCATAATGAACAAGATGTTTTTTCACTGAGATTTAAGAAAACTTTCACAAATCTTGCTTTGTAATGCTTTTATATCTGACTTGTATGATATTGTTAACTTCCAGTTGTTTTAAGTAAAAGAGAATTTTACCTCTGAAAAGAATATATGTTATCTACCAAGTGCCATCTGACAATGTCACCAAGCCCCATTTGTGTCATGCAATTAGAATTTCCTCTATTAAAGCAATACTCACCCATCACATAGGTGCATGTTTTAATAGAGTTATTGCTGATGATTCCAAGGGCAAGGAAAGGATGGTCTAATCTTCACCCATAGGCTAGGCCTTTCCTACCTTTTTGCAACGCAGTGAGCAGCCGTGATCACCCACTGTGGCGAGACAATGCTTCCTCCACAGATATGCTTCTGCCTTTGTTTCAGAGACACCTAAATTGCAAATACCTTTGAGAGCAAGTTCATGCCGTGGGATCCCCCTAAACATGGTGATGAAGTCTATTCTCAAAACCAGACTTAGATACCTCACTCATAAATATCGGGAATCATAGACTGTGAAAGGATAAAGCCCACACACTACCGCTCAGAAAGAAGAGTGGTGCTAGCAACTGTATAGATGAGAGGTAGTTAATTTGAGATGATTGGCTGTAAAAATGTCAACAGAGGTAGCAGTTAGAAATGTTGGTATGTATTTACTTATTTTTATAACACTGTTGACCAAGATCTGTTGCTCTACCAA